GAGGTCCAATGATCTAGAGAATGCTGGGATATCCGACCAAAGTCAAGGACAAGTTGTTGTATCTTGTGCCTTCTACCACTAAGAAAGGCACAGCACTTGGTAGTCTTTACATTTTGGAATGAGCATATACCACACTCAGGAAGCCCTCTCTGACCATGGGGTCACTCAGAAGGCTGTGGGTTTTGAGTATATAGAGTCAGAGGGGCCTCTGTAGCCCTCTCTGGTTCAGGCTGTAGTGCAAGCTGCCCTGCCACTTGGGCAATATGCCCCAGAAAATCCATGGTGCAAGAGACATCTATGGTAAAGATGCTGACAATCCCAAATTAGAGAGTTGTGGTGCAGAAACTTCTAGCCTTCTGGAAGAAGGCAGCAGAGAACTATTCACTTTTTGAAAAGCAGACCCTGGCATGCTACTGGGCCCTTGAAGAGCCTAAGTTGTCCATTTTGAACTGGGTCTTGTTAAAACCACTAAATCATAAGTTCAGGCAGGAGCATCATTAATTCATAATAAAATAAAAAAGATAAATTCCGGATTGGGGCCAAGAGGGTCCAGAGGGCAAAGCAAGTTGCAAAAACAGATGGTCTGGATCTCCATATCATTGCACTGATACCTCTCCCTTAGTTTACACCTATGGCAACAGAGGAGGAAAAAAAAAAAAAAAAAAAAAGTCCAGGCTTGGTAAATGAATGGGTCAGCTCAATATCTGAGTGGAAGCTGAAAATGGATTGTTGCTGTTCTACAGCCCCTCTCGGGCTGAAAGACAGTGTTGAATGGAAATTCGCCTAGTGCAGAACTTCAGTACACTTGATCAACTATGTGTGGATGGAGAAGAGGTTGGAGGTAAGAATATACACGGACTTCTGGGAGTGACGAATGGTTCAACGCGAGGGCCAGGGTCCTGGAAGGAGTAAGTTTGGAAGACTAGAGGTAAGGAAGTGTGGGGAAGAGGCATGTGGATAGACCTACAGGAGTAAGCTCAGAGTGTGGGGATGGATCTTTTTGTTTCTGTCGGTGCCTACCAGAAAGCGTCCACTGCAGAGAAGATGCTGAACACCAGGTGGACAGAGGGACTTGTCCATATGTGTCTCAATCAGCTGTGTCCTCAGTCACCCCACATTTGCACAATGAACCCTTAAATGAAGTAGTCATGGTGGCAGGCATTAGAGGCTATGCATGGGCTCCCTTTCACCAGTGCTCAACTAGCTAGTGCTGCTGCTGAAATATCCAACCTGTTAGCAGTAGAAATAATGCTAAGCCCTTGATGTAGTGTTATCACTCTAGAACAGTGAGTCAATTGGTAACAAGTTGATTACATTGGACCCCTTCTGCTCTGGAAGGGGCAGTGATTCATCTTTATTGGAACTGATATGTATTTCAAGTGTGGGTTTGCCTTACCTGTTCACTATGTTTCTCCCAGTACTACTGTCCAAGAGCTCACACGGGATCCTGCATAATACAATCTCAGATCAAGGGACCCACTTGAAGGTCAAAGAAGGGATAATGGGCACATGGGCATGGAGCCCACTGGTTCTATAATATACTGCATCACCTTGGAATTGCCACCTTATTAAATGTTAGAATTGCCTCTTAAAGGAGATGATGCCCTGTGGGACTCAGGTGCTTTCCTTCAGGATGTGGTATATGTATTCAACCAACAGCCAAACTACATAGGTTTGGGAATGAAGGGGTGGAAGTAGGAGTGGCTCCTCTCACCCATCATTCTGTTATTTATTTGGGGGATTGTGTACTTCCTGTCCCTGAAGCTTTAGGCTCTATGGGATTAGTGTTCTTGGTCCCCAGGGGTGCTTCCACCAGTACATTGTAAAGGTTCCAATGAACCCCAAACCATGACTGCTGCCTGGTCATTTTGGCACTCTTCAGGCCAGTAGACCAACAGGCAAACAGGAGTTACCATACTGGCAAGTAATTGACTGTAATTATCATGAGGAGCTAGGGTTGTTACTACATAATGGGGACAGGAAGGAGTGTCTGGGACTCAGGAAACATAGAGTTGCTTCTATGCCAGGCGATAACAATAAATGGAAAATTTCAGCAGCCACAGCATGCCAAGGGCAAAATAATCAGAGGCTCAGACTCCTCAGAGAGGAAGGTCTGGGTCATCCAAATAGGTAAGCAATGGTGACCAGAGAAGTGCTGGGTGAGGGTGAGAGGAACTCTAGAACAGGAAGTACAGGAGGGAGATGATAAACCTTAATTATGGCTTCAGGACCAACTGCAACAGTGAGGACCACAGCTTGTCCCACTAACCTTCCGGTAGACTTTTTTTTTTTTTTTGATTTTTTTAAGGAATTGTGATCAGCCGTTGCTTTGACTCTAATGTACCTAAATATATCTGTTGTTGTGTGCCACTGAGTCAATTCTGACTCATAGTGATCCTATACAGCAGAGTAGAACTGCCCCATAGGGTTTCCTAGGCTGTAATCTTTTTATGTGTTTTGGAGCCCTGTCATTGGGTACGTAGATGTTTATTACGGTTATGTCTTCATGGTGGATCGTCCCTTTAATCATTATATAATGCCATTCTTTGTCTTTTACGGTGGATTTTGTTTTAAAGTCTATTTTATCTGAGATTAGTATTGCCACTTCTGCTCTTTTTTGATAGATGTTTGCTTGATATATTTTTTTCCATCCTTTGATTTTTTTTTATCATGTATTCCCACCTCCCCTTTTTTATTGTACTTTAGATGAAGGTTTACAGAACTAGCTTCTCATTAAATAGTACATATATTCTTTTATGACATTGGTTAATGACCCCATGACATGTCAGTACTCTCCCTTCTCTACCTTGGGTTCCCTATTACCAGCTTTCCTGTCCCCTCCTGCCTTCTAGTCCTTGTGCCTGGGCTGGTGTGCCCCTTTAGTCTCGTTTTGTCCTATGGGTCTAATCTTTGGCTAAAAGGTGAACCTTGGGAGTGACTTCATTACTGAGCTAAAAGGGTGTCTAGGGGCCATACTCTCAGGGTTTCTCCAGTCTCTGTCAGGCCAGTAAGTCTGGTCTTTTTTTGTGAGTTAGAATTTTGTTCTACATTTTTCTCCAGCTCTGTCCGGGCCCCTCTGTTGTGATCCCTGTCAGAGCAGTCAGTAGTGGTAGCTGGGCACCATCTAGGTGTACTGGACTCAGTCTGGTGGACGCCGTGGTAGTCGTGGGCTGTTAGTCCTTTGGACTAATATTTCCCTTGTGTCTTTTTCTTCATTTTCCCTTGCTCCTGAAGAGGTGAGACCAGTGGAGTATCTTAGATGGCCACTCACAGGCTTTTAAGACCCCAGATGCTACTCACCAAAGTAGAATGTAGAACATTTTCTTTATAAACTATGTTATGTCAATTGAGCTAGATGTTCCCTGAGACCATTCTTCCCATAGCCCTCAGCCCAGTAATTCGGTTCCATCCTTCGATTAAATTTATGTCTTCGTTTCTAAGGTGTGTCTCTTGTAGACAGCATATTGATGGTTCCTGCTTTTTTTTAATCCATTCTGTCACTGTCCGTCTCTTTATGGGTGCATTTAAGCCATTTACACTCAGTGTGATTATTGACAGGTGTGAGTTTATTGGTGTCATTTGGTAGTGCTTTTTTTTTTGTGATGGTGACATTTTGTTTCTCTTACGCTTCTGTGCTGAATTCCTTTTTTTTTCGTTTCTTCCATTTTTGTAGATACTGTGCTGAGACTTTGTTTTTCTTCTTTATTTTGATGAACAGGTTTGTTAACTTTCTTTGTGGTTACCTTGAAATTTACCCTTATCTTCCTAAGTTTGAACCAAATCCTTAGCTTCGGGCCTGCACTTGGGAGAACCCAACCAGACTCTTCAATAAGGTTATCATGAGGTCTTTGTCAAGCATCTTGCTGAAATCCTGATAGACTCTCTCTCTCTCACACTCTTAAGAGACAAATGAACTTAGTCTGCTGTGATTTCTTGTTAGAAGACCCAGGCTGGCTCCTGGTGATTTTAAGTTTCTTTTCTAAGTGCTCACGAAAAACCATAATAAGCTGCTAGTTAATTTGATAGCAGGCTCATTTTTCACTTTCTAAAAATTATGAAGGATTTTCACATTGCAATTTTGCTTTTCTAACAGCAGTATTTTTTATCTGTAAAATTTAAATGATGTATTAAGGTACAAAGGAGAAGTTATACTTCGTATCATGTAAGAGACTGACTACTCTTGCCATCAGTGTCCTAAAGTTGGCAATACCACAGCAGGACACAGCGGGACGCTCACTGGACAGAGGAGATGATGACACAGTGTGAAGGACACCATGGTCGCCCTTCAACAGCACCCAAACCTGTCATCACCACCCCACTCCTCTATTCTCTTCATGGCAGAGGTTATTACCTTCCGTTAAGTAAAATATTGCCCCACAGGAAATACACTTTAATTTTTTCTAAGTGGTGGTGAATACTGTTTTGTCTAAATACTATTTGTCAAAATAAAAACGAAACGAAACCCACTGCCATTGAGTCGATTCCCACTCATAGCGACCATACAGCACAGAGTCGAACTGCCCCATAGGGTTTCCAAGACTGTGGTCTTTACAGAAGCAGACTGCCACGTGTTTCTGCCTCGGAGTGACTGGTGAGTTGGAACCACCAACCTTTTGGTTAGCAGCCAAGCACTTAACCACTGCACCACCAGGGTTCCTTATTTGTCAAAATACTACTGTCTAAATAATAAATACTACTTTGCTGACATGACTTGTCCTTCTGAAAGCTTTGCTTATGTGAGAGGAATCATGTCTTGCATTTCTAATAGCCAAGCTCTAGAACGGAAGCATTTACACATAAGCAGAGGGGAACCATTAATGCCTAAGTTTTGCAATCCAATATATCTAAAAGCACCAGGCATTTAAAAATGCAAACATCTCTATAAACCCTTTTGAGTTCATCAGAATGAAAATCACAAATGGCAAGGCTTCATCAAATAGGATTACACGTTCAGTGTGGATCAATATTTTCCTTACAGTGAGTTAGGTAAGACACAGCCAAATCCTCATTTAAACATTTAATACAGACTCATAATACATGATTTGAAAAAATAAACACTTAGATGACAAACAGAAGAAATTAGTAACAACTCTTTACATTTTATTTTACTCTACAAAGGGTCTGAAAATAATTTAGAAGTGAAGACATTTCAAGTCACACCAAAGCTGCACTGTGATGGCCGCCAAGGTGTAGACTATCTACACAGTTTAGCACATGAAAGGTCAATTGAGGCTTTGCACCAATGCTCTTGGAAACCAAAAATGTATAGACTGAAAAAGGCTTTGTCAGTTAAATGAGATAAATCTTAAAGCTAGCAAATGATTAAAAACTTTTTTTTTTTAAACAGCATTTTGCTAAGGGTATGAGTTAAAAGAAACAAAAGTGACAAAACCAGGATCATAAAAATGTGTTTATACGTGAAGGAACCATCATGTTGATTTGTGTTAAAGAACATCACATTTGTTTATTTTAATGCCAGGTACAGTTAGATTTTAAGCCTCCAGAAATACTTTTGAACTTATTATCAAACAACTGGAACACACTATACAGAATGTTCCAAAGTTGCTCCAGAAAAACCAGTTGAAACTCTCCCTAGCAGCGCAGGATTCTCAACATAGCTCCTGTCCTTCCCTGCTGGCCCCAAACTGAGAAAGGTGTAGTGAGAACACAATTCAATGGTGTCTGAAGAATACACTACCCATCTCATCAAGAGTTCTGCTGCTGAATTATGTAGAATACCCAGGGCCACAAATAACAGAATGGATTTTTGCAGAGTATCAATTTTGGGTGAAAGAAACACAGGGTAGGACTGGAGCCCTCAGTGAAAGCTCTAAAAGGACCCGGGACTGATGAGCAACCCAAAAAGGCAAGGAAACAACCTGCAGGAAATGGCAGCGGGTCGTGGGACTTCCCCCGCCTTCTGTGATCCACTCATCTTCTCAAGACTGCCTCAGTGCCCTCTGGGGGAAATTATCCTACCTTTTATCACTTTTTTTCAACACTTCAACACAAAGCCTGCAAGAAACACGATAAACTCAAAGCTAATATTAAAGGCTTGAATAAAAGTTAATAACGAGACTCATCCTGTGATCAGTAAACACTTCTCGAGGAATAAAATCTTCATTTGAGGAATGAAATAAAATGAATGGTGTTCATTTAGGGTAAGTGATGCTCTCTTTTTGGAAGTGGGAATAATTACTAAATACTAAATGTAGGAAAAGTGCTTTCCGTCTGAGGCCTTAACGCTTTATGGACTTTATTAATCCTTCTGGTATATTGTTGCATCACTCAAGTCCAAGTATGATGCCTAATTTCCAATGATTTATCCAAAATCACCAAAGAAAATCAGGAGAAATGGAAATATAATTAAAGTCTCTTGAAAATGAAGTTACTGTAGATGTATATAAATAAACTATAATCAAGGTTCAATTCTGAGGTCTGGTGACTAATTTTATGTTGAATATAAGTCTTTTTAAAAGTATTCCTACTTAACGTGTAATTTAAAAAAAAATTCTAGAAACTGAAGTATAAAGATCACATTTGTTCTGAGCCCAGACACCTTCTAAACCACCGAAGTAGAGGATGGATTTGATTTCTCCATCAGCAATACAGACTCATGATAAGCTGTACTGAAAAATGTCCAGACCTTCTTGGATAAGCACAGCATTTAGATAGAGAGACCGAAGTTAACTGAATCCTCATGCTCACCACTATTAATTTTCCCTATGACTGGTAAAAATGCTGCCTATAATAGACGGTATTCACTTTTTCAGTGAATTCATACATTTTTTGATGATCAGCTAACAAACAAAAAAATGAATTAGATTTCATTTAAAAAAATAAAAATAATGTTTATTGTAATAACTATCTTTAATAACTAATATTTACCCTGGGGAATGCACAAGTATAGGCATTGTTAGCTTCTTTAACATTCATTAAAAAGGTACACCCTTTATATTAATGCAAAAGGTTAAGACTCTTCTTCTCACTACAAAAAATCTCCTCTTTACTGTAAAGAACTGTCACTGCATTTGAATAAAGACTCTGGAGCCCTCAGCAGACAGGTGTTGCAACGGCCGGCCGCAATCGGGGTTTTCTCTCTTGTCAATTAGGCAACTGAAAAAACAGCAATTCTTTGGTGGGGGTGAAGTTAACAGCAAAGTCTAAATATTAGAAAAACAAAGGCAGGGAATGTAACAAAATGCTTCAAAGTACACGCCTGAGGCGAAAAACAGCTTATACACTCGTGTGTGGCAGCTTTCAGGTGAAATCTTCATCAGCTTTTAATCTTCAGGTTCGTATCTAGAAAGAGATATAAATGAAGAGCATAAAGTCATGAAAATTTGTTTTTGTTATTATTACCAAACAAGTCACTAGTAACTAACCATAGCATTGTGTGCTTCAGTTATAATCATCGCTGTGGGCAGAAGTCAGATCCACTCAAGGCATTACGACATGACTCAAAGGAGATTCCCGGGGTAACTGCTAAGGTACTTTCAGACTCCTAGTCTCTACACTAGGCATTTAGATCCATGATAGCTGCGTGGAGACCCAATAATAATCCGGATCGTCAGATCAACACATCTAGCTGATGTGGCTATGTGAACAAAAGGCTAACAAACCTCCTTCTCTAAGGAAAAATCTGATCTTGGATTCACTTTCTAGCTCCGTTTCCTGGGGACCCTCATAAATGTAAAATGTCAGCTGAGTTACCAGGCAACACCGCTGATGGAAACAATGACCCTGACTGGTGGAGTGCATCTGGACTGGGAGGACTGGGGATGATCTATAAACACCTGGGGAGAAGCCACAGCTCTGGGCTTCCCTCTGGGTAGGGAGATCCTGTGACTGGCCGTGTCCCTCACCGGGCATGTGGCTGCTACAAGACATGCCGGGCCTTTCTGGAGCATGGGCTTCTAAGTCCAGCTGGCTATGGCATCCATCTGTGTGGATCTCTCACATCAAAATGGTCACTTGGGGGCACAATAAGACCAGCTCTCGGGCTGCTGCGAGGACACCCACAGAAGAGATCGGCCAATGCTGCCCTGCTAGGTGGCTATGCTTCCCGTTCTACATTCTGTAACTGAATCCACTACCATGAGTAGCCAGCTGTAGTCGTGTGTGAGTCTGAGGGTCTAGCTGAACCAAAAAGAAGCCCTGGTGGGCATTAGACGTCAGGCCAGGCCCAAGGTCCCCTGCTTTCCTCAAACACAGGCTTTTGGGCTGAACGACAGAGCAACTATCCACTGACCTGACCTCTGGACACACACTTAGATTTAACGGAGAAGAGACGTCAGCCCAGTGGAGAGCTAAACCTGCAAGCGAGATCAGCGGGACTTACTTTGCCAGTTTTTTCCTCAGCTCCTTGATCTGGTCATTCTTCTTGGTAAGAATCTCTTTCATGTTTCGATAAGCAGCTGTTTGTTGGAATTTCTTTTCCAATTCCTGTTTAGTGGAAAGTGACAGCCTGTTACTGGGGAACAGTTGAAGAAATAAAAAATCTGATAAAAATCCAGATTTCTTGCTCTAATTTTACTAACATTCTACTTATATTATTTTCTAATTTCTTTAAAATGTATACTTACATAAAATTAAGACTCTCCAAGCTTTAAAAATATATTATTTCAAATGAGAAGCAAATAAAGTATTTTTCCAAGTATAATATTAGCAAATAACTCAAACACTATGCCCTAGACATGGGGAATATTATGCTAACTTGAAATATCTGAAACATTAATTTTTGAGTAAAATAAGCACGATATTTTTCCAAATCCCAAAGATGTATTGGTATTTTAGGAGCCAGACTTGTAATTTAATTGAACTTTAACTTCCATATTATTGAGGCAAGAAGAATCTAACCCCTAAAGCGAAGACCCCAGCTCCCTATATATTACATATAAATTATGAAAAAAGGATAGAACTTCTAAAGAGAGTACCCCACTCCTCTGCCAGGCTGTAGGAAAAGTAAGCAGGAACGCAACGTGAGGGAGTGCAGGGCAGTGGAGTAAGCCCGTTGTGGAGGAGTATTTTACCAACCACAAGAAAGAGCAGAGATTTCCTATTATCACAGATAGTTTAGTGCCAAAGACAGAACATGATAACCCTTAAGAATACACACTGGCGAATTCCTTAAAAAGCCCATCTGCATCCGCAGTAGTTCCATGTTGACATTACTTACACATGTCCCTCCATCCTGCATCTACCAGTTAATTGGGCATGAGCCGACAAATCCCTTAAACAGTCTTCTGACCTTTTCAGCCAAGCTCAGCTGCTCCTGAACCCGGAGTAGGTCATGTTTGGCTGTCGCTAGATTCTCCTCCAGGGACTTCTGGTTTTCTGTCTTGTCACTTAGTGTTCTCTGAAACTCACTCTTTAAAGCAGCGACTGTGTTTTCCAACTCACTCAAGTCTTGGGCCTTTATAAAATCCTATGGAAGATAAGAACACTAGCACGAGTTCATGTGGACGTCCTAAATGATACCAGATCCGACATCATAGGAGATGACAACAAATTGTGCTGCGTGTTGTGTCAGCCAGGGGACGCGCCCGCTCCCTCAGGGTTGTCACCGCGCCCAGTTCCGCCTCAGCACCCAGTCTGCGTGGTGTCTCGACACAGCAGATGCTCAATGGTTACTGAACTCCAAATATATAAAATATGATTTATGAACTGCTGAAAATTCCAGTCAAAGAGGAGTAGGAAAGAAGTAAGATCCTGAATTTGATAAGGCTATGTGTCCCAGAACTGGGATGGCAAACAGGTTTCACTTGCAAGGTCAAGAAAAGAAAATTCCTGGTGAATTCTGAATGATACAGGTGGAAAAAATAATGAAATTAATACAAGTTATAGTAAAAATTCAGAAACCCTAGTGGTGTAGTGATTAAGAGCTACGGCTGCTAACCAAAAGGTCGGCAGTTCGAATCCACCGGGTGCTCATTGGAAACTCTATCTGGGGCAGTTCTACCCTGTCCTATAGGGTCGCTGTGAGTCAGAATTGACTAGGTTTGGGTTTTTTTTAATAGTAAAAATTTAATAGCGATATGCTTTAGTCGTTATTTTCAATAAGATACTATGAAAAAATAATGATCATTTTCTCATTTTACAAGATTTTTAGTTTTTTTATATTATTCACAAGATAGGCACAGCTTTGCATACTTTGCCAAATGCAACATAATACAAGCAGTTGGATCTTCTGCCTGTATTTTGTTTCTGACCATTCATGCTACAAAAAAGACTTATTAATAAGACAGGAAAATGGTGTATAACTGCTAAATGTACAGGTGAAGCAGTATTATCAACAAGAGAAAAAAGAATTAAAAATATTGATATAATTCTTCACATGTTCCATAAAATTCTTGCTCATTTTTGAAACCTGGTCTTTAAAAAGATTTTATTTCATTGCAATGAGGAAAGGCATGTATACATATTGCTTTTGTGTCCAAAATCTTGAAGTTAAACTGGAGCATTGTCCAAAATAGCCTTCAAATAAATTTATCATCCAAGAATGTTTACAATTGTTTTAGTTTTGATAAATTACAAAACTGCTCTGAACATTTAGCTCTGTTTTATAATCTATGGCCCTAGGTATATAATGGCTGAAATTCATATATATTTCCCTTTGTAGTCATATAAAAAAGATCTTATTCTAAAATATTACAAAAGAAATGATTTGATATCTGATATCTGTTGGAAGATGACACAGCGGGGAGGAAGGGGTGCAGTAGAGATAAAGATGAAACAAGATTGGCCATGCGCTGATAGCTGTTAAAGCTGAACGGTGAGTACATGGGGGTGTATTCCACTATCATCTCTACTTTGTGTATGTCTGTAATTGTCCATATAAAAAGTGTCACAAAAATCTAATGAAGCAGGTTTTGAGATTGCTTAGCAGACACTGACAATGACAATTAAAAAAAAAACAAGCAAGCAGTTGCTGTTGAGTCAATTCCAACTCACGGTGACCCCCTGTGCTGCAGAGAAGCACATGACGATACAACCACTAAAAAAAGCCAGCGCTGCACTGAAAATCCACCCCAACGGTCACAATCATATGAAACCACATCACAGATAGCGTCCAGACTCAATGGAGAGGCCGCAGGAGACAAAAGTGAGCACACGATGCCTTCCAGCAGGTGGCAACACGCAGTCACCACGCTCAGACAAGCGTGTATGTAGAACTACAACACTGGATTTTACTGCATTACGCCAATACCACTAGATATAAAGCGATCTGAAGATTCATAGCCAGCAAATTTATTTCACTTTATCATACTCATTGAAGGCAAGCTTAAGTAATGTTCAATATAATAAAACCCAAATACACCTCCAATTAACTAAAAACTTTTCCTGTTTCCACTTCCTTCCCCCTTTCCCATCCCCACTGTAATTGGGAGTATCAAAGTGAAAGGAGGAAAAACTTAAAAGGAAAAAAAAAAAAAGAGTATCTTGCACGCCAGTGAAATCCCAGGACATGTCAGGCAGGTGAGCCGTGTGTCTGTCCCCTCTGGCCTTTTCCTGGACAACAGTGGCATCTGTCTGGGGGAGTGGCAGGGGTGGGGCATAATGAACAGTGACTAGGACTTAAGTTTATACATTTATTCTACTTAGAAAATATAAAAAAGATAGATAAAACTTGTTTCACCTTTTGATTTCCTTGATCAAGCTGTAAATCTCGCAGTGCTCTTTCTAGTTCTGACTTCTCATCCAATGCGTTTGTAGCCTAGAATCAAGTTTAAGCAAAACGCATTCAGTATTTAATCTGTAGGCAATGCCATCAATAATTCTGTTAAAGGATTTCTCAGTTACCTGTATTTCAATGGTCTTCAGCCTTGACTTCAATTTCTCATTCTCTTCTTGAAGCCTTAAAATTTCCTTTGTGAGTAAATTCAAGTTTTATTTTATGATTTTAAATGAAGTATTCTTAATACTTGAAACTATTGTTTCATTAAAAAAATCTGCTTTTATAAATTATACAGCAGCTCAAAAATCCATATACCCTGGTTGTGGGTAATATCCCAGTTTCGCCCACCCCACCTGCCTCAGCACCTGAGAGTCATCTTTGGTTCTAAGACTCCTACTTCCTTCTCTCACAGTCTCTCAAACACACCTTTCCTCCTTCAGCCCCATTCTCAGCCTTCTTCCAACCCCCCTCCCATCTCTCACCCAGCTGACGCCACAACTCTTGTGTCTACCCTCTGCCTACACTGCACACCACTTCATGTATCCCCAAAACACCATCCTCATCGTTTCAATACTCTGCTCAAGCCCCCACATAGTCCTGGCTGAGCCAAGGCCAAACACCTTTGCTCTTAGCATTTCCGTCACGAGTGTCCCGGTCGGTCCAGCCTTCATTCTATGCTCCATTTCACACATTGGCCCAGTCAGAGCACGGCACACAGCTCCAGAACATGCCACCTCCTTTCTGCCTTCGACTGTTGCCTGTTCTGTTCCCCTGCCTGACATGCCCCTTCTCTTCCTTCTGACACTTCAATCTGTCTTCACCCTTCAAGGCTCAGCTCAAATACCACTTTACCTAAGAGCCTGTCCTCAACTATTCTCATCTACACGGAACTGTGCCTTCTCTGCGACCCTAGGACACTTGTGGCACACAGGTTCATATTTTCCTGTCTCTAACTCTTTTAGGAATCTAGGTTCTACCTTCCCAACAAGTCTAAGTTTTTCCGAGGTCAAGGGACCAAGTATCCCACTGCTTTTTATCTCTAACAATGTTTAGCACAATGTTAAGAACATAAAACCCATTGCTGGTGAGTTGATTCTGACTCATACGGACCCTATAGGGCAGAGCAGAACTGCCCCACAGGGTTTCCAAGGAGCAGCTGGTAGATTCAAACTGCCAACCTTTTGGTTAGCAGACAAGCTCTTAACCACTGTGCCACCAGGCTCCGTTAAGAACATAAACCAAACCAAACCAAACCCGTTGCTGTCAAGTCAATTCTGACTCATAGCGACCCTACAGGACAGAACAGAACTGTCCCATAGGGTTTCTAAGGAGCAGCTGGCAGATTCAAATTGAAGACCATTTGGTTAGCAGCATAGGAGGTATTAAAAATATTTATTTTTATGTTGATAATTTTTATAAACATATTTAAAAACAAAAAACCCTCCTTACTACCACAGATCACAGACTTCAAGTATCAGTCAGTCGATATTGTCCCAAATTCCACGCTCTTCACTTCACTGTGAAAAGAGGCTATCAAGGACTGCTTCAGTCTCTCAGGAAGATAAGGGTGCCCTCTTCTGGCCAGCCCGGTACCATTCAGTAAAACTGCCACAACGGACTAACTACCCTCAGTGGATCAAATGCTGACCAGCCTCCTTCCACCTGTTTCTCTACCCTAGACTTGGGCGGGCAATGAGAGGACAAAGTTGGAGGGTTTGCCATTTTCCAAAATGATGATAACGTTACCTTGTTCAGGAGTTCTGCTGTTCCGCCTTCGTTAAGTGGAGCGAGTTTTGGCTTCACGACATCTAAGACAGGCTAAAACAAAAGGAAGGAGCCCAACTGAAATCAGCACAGAATGAAGCTCTTAGAATCACTGAACACTTGCACTTTATAATGGCAGACACTCTGCAAACATATCACTGGGATGTCAGCGCTGAGAGCACCGGGGTTTCTGTTGGTTGATTCTCGGCTATGTCCAGTGCCAGCGCACAGGGCCCGGTACATGTTAGAGAGAAAAGTGAAGCCAACCCTCCCCGTGTGGTTTTAAAAATACACGTGGAAGGAAGGGAGGGAGGGAGGAAAGGAGTTCAAAGCCGGACCTGGATGGAGATTCTAGCGATAGGAACTGGGATTCTAACCTGTGGGAGATGAAACAGATTTCCGCAAGCACCGCAGACTCTGTGAAAAGCTTTGTGATATTGGCAAGGATTTGGACAATGACACAAAAGGTGAAGAATAAATCGGCACAAACATCCTGCCAGTTTAGCGCTGTGTGTCCACAGCAAAAGAATCCATGCCCTCTCACCCAGACACTTTGTAGCCAGAAATACGTCCCAAAGGAATAGTTGGCAAATTGCTGTCTATGTGTATGTACAATGGATTCATCTCAGCAATTTTTTTTTATTTTTGAGTTTCTGGTGCAAGTTTATATAGCAAGTTAGGTTTCCATTTGACAGTTTCCACACAAACTGCCCACTGACATCAGTTACATTTATCACAATTAACCAGCATTCCCTTTAGCTGTGTCTATACCCATCCATATGGCTCACTCGTTTGTGCTTCGGTTGTGCTGTCTCACTACACCCACATTCCATGCCACTTTTCCCATTACCCAAAATAACAAGTCTCTGTGGTCCAAGGCGTACTCCTCTCCCCACAACCACCAATGGACATGAGTCTCTACTTATTTGTTCTTGTCTTCTTATAAAAGAGGGATCATACAATATTTGTCCTTACATGCTTGACTTATTTCACTTAGCATTATGCCCTCCAGGTCCACCCATAGTATGATATGTTTCACGGGTTCATCACTGTTCCTTACGGTTGTACAGTATTCCATCGTATGGATGTACCACAATTTGCTCATCCATTCATGCGTTCATGCGCACTTTGGTTGTTTCCATTTATTTGCTATTGTGAATAAAGCAGCAATGTCATTATTTCTAGGTCTCTAGGGTATATACTTGAAGCCTTGGTGGCGCCGTGGTTAAGAGCTTGGCTGCTAACCAAAAGATCTGCAGCTCGAATCCACCAGCTACTCCTTGGAAACCCTATGGGGCAGTTCTACTCTGTCCTATAGAGTCACTATTAGTCAGAACTGACTTACCAGCAATGGGTTTGGTTTTTTTTTTTTTTTTTTTGGTTAGGGTACATACCTAGGAGTGGGATTTCAGCAACGTTTTAATATCCAGTAACAGGGAATATTTATGGTACATCCATACACTGGAATGCTGAGTGGCTGTTGCAAATGATGAGAAGGATTAGAAAGAGAAGTAGGTAACTACTCGTATTGTTTCCACTTGACAGATGAAAACAAGGTTCAGCCATGTCAGGCAACCTGCTAAAACTCACACCGCTAGGGAGTGACAGCCAGGATGTCTGGCTGACCCCATGTCCACGCCGCATCGTCTGAGAGAAGAGGTTATTGTGGCTGGGATTCAGGTTGGATTGCTGGGACTGGGTTGGTGTGCCATAATAGACAAAACTGAATCTTTCACCATTATTTCCAAAGTGTTTCCTCTTTTGCCTGAAAACCTGAGAGGTAATTTTTGAATTCTACTCTTGAGTCTAATGCTTTTCTCTTTGAGAGTTCTCACTTTGACTGCTGAAGGCTTTGAGTGACTTAAGGATTTTAAATACTGGATATTAATATATGCACTCAGAAGGACCAAAACTTACCTTTTTGTTTGAAGATGTAAATTCTGCCTTTTCAAATTCTGCAACTTGTTCTAGTAATTCTCTTGAAGATAAAAGCAAATATGAAAAATGTTATTTAAAATGTATTTGTATCACATACAAAAATAATAAAATCACTAGTACTTTATATCCCAGAGAGAACAGAATGAGATAGACAAAAAATGACACTTAGTTACACATGATCGAGAATCCAAACCCCACAGACTCAAATGTGAATCCTCCACTAGCACTCTGCACTCACTGGGTGTACAAAACACACTGCTCGCATTCAACCACAACGCAAATACAAATACGAGCAAACCTGTAGTCAGCTCTGTATCCCCGAGGTGCGATACGGAGACTGCTCTTTTACATAAGACACACTGCTAGCTAGTAGCTGTTCAGAAATGCAAACTGATTTTTAATAGAAAAATGGGATTACCATACAACATCTACTGAAACGAGTTTCCAGAACAAACATGGTTTGACGGTGATCCACCTTTTGATTTCCTTTAATTTGCAAAGGTCAGAAACAGCTTACAGCATGAACGGCAGGAATGCCCCTTCCAAGCACTTATTTCCAGAATTTTTTTCCCAGACCCATGCCAGTTTCTAAAAGCTTTCCCTCCAGCTACCCACTGTTGCTGAAGTTGAATGGTTTTCCTTCCCCACCCACAGGGCTGTAATCAGTGCCCACTGCTCGTTACACAGGGCAACACACTCAGAGAACAGCTCACAGGCCCGGGGGTCAGTCTTTCCTATTTCTGGGATGGCTTTTCTTACAATGAATTGGGAACTTCAGTGTTATGGCTTTTTTCAATTTCATAAGCTCTTTGATATTGCTCAGACTATAAAAATGTAAGGTTCTATTTTAAAGATATTAAGTACATAATTTTAAATGCAACTATCGAGAAATAAACTTCTAAGACCACCAGACTGAACTGATGGTATTTATGTTTGAATTAATTTCTCAGCTGCTTCGTCATCTTTATTTCTTAGTTGACCTAGCACTAAAGACTGACTGTAATATTATCACGCTAACAAAGGTGCTGTAATGAATCATCAGGGATAGCCTAGAAAGCAACTTCATGAATCTCAAAGGCTTTTATACTACCAGGAACTGCGGAAACAGAATTCTAAAGGCCACTGGGAGGCACCCACGAGATCACTCAGAAACTAGCTGCATTTTTCTGCTCTCCTCCGCAAATCTTCTCACACAGCAGCTACTGGAGAAAGCAGCAGCCAAGAGGTTCACTGGCTTCTACGGATTTCGCCTGGGCCTCTAATGTCATGGTCGCAGCTGCAAACTTTATTACCTGTTTTCAAGTTCCGAGATGTCTGTCTGTAGCTTAAGGTACCACTTCTCAGCTTGTGAGAAGAGCTGCCGCAGGAGCAACACGTTGGTGTAGGCAGTGTTGATGAGCTCAGACTCCACCTCACTGTGAACCACAGCCTGCAGGCCACTTAGGACCTCGGAGACCTCGTCTATGGTGAAGGTCTCCTCCACCAGCCTGAAAAACAACCATGACCCGAAACTTCCGTATAAACAACAAAAGCAGCAAATAAAATGCACATCTTGTCATCTAAGGGATTAAAAGGTTACAGTGAAAATCCCTCTGGGAACTATTGTCTTTATCAGTAAAACAGACTGAAAAGCATTCAAGTTCAATTAATTTTGATGTCTATTCAAATGACTAAATTGGGGCTAATTCTTCAAATGTGTGTACCGTTTAATACAAGTGCAGTCTCAGAAATATTCCTAAAACTTCACCTACTTTTTTCTTTAACTTTTCAGTTTTAAATGTTTCTCATTTTTTATTTCAATCTCCACTGAAAGTGTTCTCATCACATTTAATAATTTCAAAAGCCAAGTGAAAGGTATAATTTTTCCTTTTTTATTCTTCTTTACACTTTAATAATTGTATAAACTATTTGCATAAAGAGACCAATTGTTACACCTTGGATGGCTGCTTGCAAGCTTTTGAGACCCAGACACTATGCAATGAACTAGGAGGTAGACCAGAAACACTAGTAACAGTATTAGGCCAATTAACTGGGCTATCCCATGAACAGGGATGGGTTACTCAATAAACAAGGTAGGCAGGGGCTTGCTTGTGGTTATTTACTAATCTGTAGTACACCGTTCCACCTGTTCTTCATCATATCAAAGATGTGGTGAAACCCATATGAAATTGACATTAATTACATTAATCAGCTGTGCAACCATTACACTTAATCAATGAGAATTTTCCATCACCATAAACAGAAACTCAGTGCTTGCTTAAACCTTTTTTTGACGACCCAAGGTCATTATTATGAACAGCAATTAAGGCACTCTGATGCCTAAGTACATTCTCTGGCCATCCCTCAGCGTCTCTAATTAAATTGCTGTTTTCACCAGCTTGGGGTCAGGAAACCAGATTACCAGGTTAGATTAACGGTCTAAGTAGATAATGGCCTCAGGCTGATGGCCTTCCCTACTGAGGGAAGTTCATGGCTTTATGACAGTTGTAGCTCACTCAAAGGCCTGTTTCACTTAAGGTCTTACTTGACATTTGAATGCACCAAAGTCTGATCCTCAAAATAATCTGATGCCCCTTTCTTATTCTCTTATTCAGTCCTTTTCTTTGGTTCCCCCATAATCCTCCAGATCAAATATACATTTTCTAGGACCTTTAACTATTTTCAATTATTGGTCCAATTGGACTAATTATCACCTCTTGCTACAAATAACTACCAATTTCGACAATTTCAGTACCGGTCAGTAAGCTGGTTTTATGGTTTCTTGCTGCCTTCCCCACTCCTAATTCTTCAACACGAACCGCATATCTTCTTACTAATTGCCATGTCTTATGGCTCTCATCTTTCCATGAATAACTTAATTAAAGTTCTGGAATCTTTAATAACACAACCCAATCATTAATCCACAAGCCCTCTGCAACTTCTTCATTGCCCTTCTGAAACTTTATTATCATCTATGTGGATTTCTGACAATATACTATATTCACTGCCCCCACCACTATCCAATTTCTTGAGTTTCATATACCAGGCTGCTTAGTGTAATTTTTCTGACTGAATAACTGATCACCATACTCCCAGGAACAGTTTGTTATAGCCTCTGCTATGGTATCTCCATACTGGCTACCAGAAAGGACCCATGTTCCCATTTGGTTTCCTTAGAGTCTGCTGATACCTGCTCTCCTTGAGATCTTGGAAGCAAGAATCTACCGTTTTGAGTCTCAAGCCTCTTTTTGAACGAGCAAAACGCATATAATTAATAACTTCATTTTGATGGTGGTCATTTAGGCCCAACTCTGCCTGAAAAAGACAGAAGTAACTTGTTAGTCTTGAAGATGCGATAATAGAACCAACACTGAAAATATCCTGTGGTAGACTGCTAAACGTCTACCGAATGCTGTTCTTCCCCCTTCCTGGGTGTGTGGCTTGCCAGCTAGACGACACTTCCCAGCCCTCCTTGCGGTCAGGCATGGCCTAGTGACTACTTCTCAGCAGTGGAATGTGAGCAGAAGAGATGTGGGCCATTCCCAAAGCCTTCACCACACCCTATTTCTCTAAAACCTTGTCTAGGTGGTGACTAGGCTGAACTATGCAGACAACAATGCCCTAGGGGACTGCGGAGCAGCAAGAGAAAGGGACCCGTGTCCCTAAATGTCCTCACGGAGAAGCACTGACATACTCACCTGAGATGAGCCATGAGATGGCTCAGTGAGAGAGAAATAACCTTTTTTAAGCCACTTTGGGTACCTATTATAGCAACTTAACCGCACCCTACTTAATACAGCTGTTATGGACTGAATTGCGCCCTCCCCCCACAAAACACGTGTAGGAATTCTAACCCCTACACCTGTGGATGTAATGTAATGTAATGACCATGCACAATGCAATCTAATGTAATATAATCAACCTATCAGTTGAGGTCCTACCCGTGTAGGGTAGATCCCGGACCTAATCACTTCTGAGTTATATAAAGAGCAGCACAGACACAGGGAGTGAGTGCTTCCAGCGTTGCATCTGTTTGTTGAAACATCGCAACTGGTATTCTATCAATTCCTGGGGCCTTGTTTTTCACCAATAATTCAGTGCAGCTTGGACTTCTTCCTTAACTACCATCAGTTCTTGACCATATGCTACCTCCTGAAATGGTTGAACATCAACCAATTCTTTTCGATAAAAGTGACTCTTTAAAATGTTAAAAGCAAAGATGTTACTTTGAGGACTTAGGTGCATCTGACCCAAGCCATAGTATTTTCAATCGTCTCATATTCATGTGAGAGCTGGACAATGAATAAGCAAGACCAAAGAACTGATGCATTTTAATTATGGTACTGGCGAAGGATATGGACTATACCATGGACTGCCAGAAGAACGAACAAATCTGTCTTGGAAGAAGTACAGCCAGAATGCTCCTCAGAAGCGAGGATGGCAAGACTTCGTCTCACATACTTTGGACATGCTATCAGGAGGGATCAGTACCTGGAGAAGGACGTCATGCTTGGTAAAGCAGAGGGTCAGCAAAAAAAGAGGAAGATCCTCAACGAGATGGATTGACACAGTGGCTGCAACAACGGGCTCAAATACAGCAATAACTGTGAGGATGGTGAAAGACTGGGCAACATTTCATTCCATTGCACACAGGGTTGCTACGAGTCGGAACTGACTCTACAGCACCTAACAACAATCACAGACACAGTGCCATGTGGGGGGAAAACAGACACAATCTGACATCGACAGAGGGAGATGAATCTATAATCCCAGGAACTCCAAGGACCGGCTGCTACTAGAAGCTACAGTAGACAAAGGACCTCTCCCTAGAGCCACACCCTGAATCCAGCCATCTAGCCTCCTGAACTGTGAGAAAATAAAGTTCTGTTCCTTAAAGCCACCCACTTGTGATATTTGTGTTACAGCAGTACTAGGAAACTAAGACAGCAGCTTTAAAAAATGAATTTGGTTTGGAAATAGCTGTTAACTGATCTTTGTTTTAAATTTAATTTTAAATGATAATTTGACAACTATGAACTAAAGATTAATGAAGTTTGTTTTTATCTTATAGCTGTACTGAAAAGAAGGAAATTATAAAATTGAACATCCAGTGTCGGGGACTAAATGAGTCAGAATTAGATTTATTTTAAGAATAACTTGATTTATCATAGACGTCTTATGGGAGATAAGGTCTAACACCGAAGCCCCCTTTCCATGCTGCCCTCTCACTCTCAGCACCCAAAGTTGCCTCCAACATAGCGGGGCCGAGACCATCAGGCATGATGTCCTTCACCCCCAAACACCCCACACCATGGCTTTTCTGCATCCACATACGTCCTTACCTTCTCTGTGCCTTCTCAATTTCCTTAGAACCTAAGTCTGTGAGGGCCAGAACCTTGCCCATCTGGTTGCCTGAGATATCCTCAGTACTCATCATACTGCCTGGTGTACAGCAGGTATATGTCCAACATATGAACTTAGGGAGTGCTCCTCCTTTTGAAGGCTGCTCTTTCATGGGGCCTAAATCAGTTCTCTTCCAAACTCCTGGGGGACTTTTAACTAATTATTCCGCTTCTCATTCTCTATAGGTTTCTTTCCTTCGGGTTATAGATATGTTTAAGCCTCACTCATCCTAAAAAAAAAAAAGAAACTCGAGTTTCCCTCTAGCTACCACACCCTTCTCCACTTCCCTTCTACTCCTGATATTTCCATTTTACCATCTAATCTTTAAACCCATATGTTACTCCAACTGCTTTTGTAAAGCTCACTAGCAACTTCTTAATTACAAATCCAACTAACAAGGCCAATGCCTTGCTCTTAACTGACCTGCTACACTTTTTGGCTTCATCTTTTTTTTTTTTTAAATATCTCATTCGTAGCCTTTTCTTTTTAGGCTTGCCTCTTAAAACCCAGGGCGCTGTTCTTGGGCCCTTACTCCTCCCACTCTGTATCCTCTTCTTGGTGATATAAATTATCTCAAGGTTTCAACTCCTGTCTGCATGCGTATGACTCTCAAGCGTATCAGGCTGAGCTGCAGATTCATATCTCCAACTGCCTGACGGACAGCTCCACCCAAGTCTTTCTTTCCATATTGTTTTTAATCTCTTTACAACTCAAGATGTTAAAGTTGAATAATTTAAGAACTACCCAGGACCTCTGATGCTCTTTAATGGCTATTTATTCAGTAGGCTAATGTTCCACAACAAGCAGCTGAGGTATTCTGACCAATGTAAATGAATACACTTGCCTTAAATCTCATGACTCTATTTTATTCCATTAATCCCGCAATTACGCTTCTGTCTTAGGGCTGGGCAATGTGAATGGAAAGAAGGAAGAATTTTCTTATGTTTTGGTTTACACTGATTTTTAGTCAACTCCCCAAACTAATGCTGAACATTAGGAATAATAATAGCAATGATGATAACAGCTAAAATTCACTCAGAGCTTATAACATGCCAGGTACGTTATAATCCTCATTACCACCCTATGAAAAATGTGGTATTCTTCCCAGTTAACAGACAGAAAACTCAGGTACAGAGAAGAAACTTGTCCCACACTACTGAAATGGTAGTGGTAGAATGGGGATTAGAAACAGGTAATCTAATTCCAGAGCCCGCAATGAACCTCACTGGCTCAAATCCTTTTCGGAAATACGGCAAAATTTAAATAAATAGAACATATACATGTTATACTTGCATATGCATCTGAGTTGACCAAGAAGACAAATTTCCACTAGGCATTAAAAACAAACGAACTAAAAAGTCATATATATTAGAGATAACGATACCTGTTATAGTCACATTAGTATAGCTGAGGATATTCCGTAATTTGGAAGTATCTTGAAATAATGTCACAATTTGCTAAAAAAATGTAAGCCACGAACACAAATTCTCAATCATTCTTCATTGGCTATGGCATTAAATCTACAATCTTCAGCTCTCAAAACCCTGAACTTTCTCCAACCCTGTTGCCCAGGATTCTACTATATGAATGCTCTACTTTTAGCCAAACCAGTCTGCTTAGCAGCCTTGAAACATGACTTCATATTTCCTGCCTTGACTTTTACTCATGTTACTCTGATCCTTGCTTTAAAAATGCCTCTCCACTCCCGTTCAAGAATCTCAATCTTACGCGGTGGTGGGCTGGCAAATGTTGAACCATCTGGCTCTCTGAGGTGTGGGAGGAGGAGCTCTAATTTGTGGAACTTGCTGATCTTCCCGGTGTGACTACTCCCATCATGTGATGTGACCGGATGCAGAGCTGAGAAGAGACGTGGACGACTTTCACCAGCTGCTACTGGCATGCTCTAGCACACCACTGAATTCCTCCCCGTCCTTCAAGCCCTCACCTGTTCTCCCTGCTCCATGAAGCCTCCCAATCCACCTCAGGAACTCTAGTTATGCCTTCCTTTAAAAACGATTATTTCTGCTACTCATTTGGCACCACCACAGACAGACTGATGACTACTGTGTACTATTCGTCATCTGTTTTCTTTTTTTCCAGGTGTTGCTTTTCCAACTAGATTGTAAGCTTTGTGAGGGCATGAGTCACTGCTCACACCACACAGCACCTAGCACAATACCTTGTGCACAGTACGTGGCCAAATCCTATTTGTTAACTATTTTCTCGTGCCAAGCAGAGTTAAGAATGTCCTAGGACCAAGAAGAAAAAAAAATTACTCAAACTGAGAAAGATGAAATTTAGGACAAAGGGCAGAGAAGTCCCTCTAAAATAGATAGGAACAAGGGAAGGGAGCAGAACTGGACAGCTGAGTTCCGCAGGAAAAACAGCATTAGTCTAGGAAAAGGCCATTCACAAACCTTGCTTCCTCGTATGTGCACAGGGCTCAAGCCATTATGGAGGAAAAGGAAGAGGCTGATGTGTGGCATGAATAGACAAAGTACCGGGTTAAAAACCACCTTTAAGTCTCGTTCCATAGCTATCTACTGATGTGACCATCACCAAGTCACTTAACCTCACTAACACCAGTTTCCTCATCTGTTAAATGAGATATATACATATATATATATATATAGTCAGCTCTAAAATATTTAGAAACAATGGAAAGCATCCAAATAAGGAAATCAGAATTTTGAAGTTTTGTTGCAGAAATGTTCTATTCAATTATTAGAAAGAGCTGAAAACAGAGCAAGAAATCCTATCGGAGCAGAAAGCTAGTGTCTTGAAATAGTGTCAAGAAACGGTGGTAGGGGTGGGATGGGGGTGGTTCCCTGCTCTGAACCACGCCCACAAAGCCATATACAATTTCACAATGAGGAGGATTAGGAAGAAACTGTAATGATAAAAATGAGCATAAAGTAATAAACCTATCACATATTGAGTGTTTAATATTTTAACAGGTACTGTGCTATTTATTGTATATGCATTATCTCGTTCATTGTTTAAACAATCCTAGTATAATTATTATTATCTGCAATTTACTAAGGAAAAAACTGAGCCTGTTGTTAGTGGAAAGAAAGGAATGAGAGTAGAAGGGAACAGATGTCAATTTGCTGTAACATTATCAGTTTTTCAACCTGTTCTCATGAAATTTTGGGGGAATCAAGAGAATGAGTGGGTCAGGCTCTAAGCTCAAGGAGGGTACAATGGTGTTTTGTTCACGGCTTTACACTCAGCTCCAAGTCAGTGCTTGGAACATGTTGTTGTGTGCCGGTCCAGTCGATTTTGACTCATAGCGACCCCATATGACAGAGTGGAATTGCCTCATAGAGTTGCCCAGGCTGTAATTTTCACAGAAGCAGATTGCCAGGTCTTTTCTTAAGCGGAGCCGCTGGTGGGTTCAAACCCTCGACCTTTCAGTTAGCAGCTCATCGCTTAATCACTGTGCCACCAGGGCTCCTTGCTTTGAACGTAGGTAAGCTCAATAGGGACACTGGTTGCTGAGGAGATATTTCAGTAGCCCATTGAAGTAGTGCCCCCAACTCTGGTTCCATTCCTTTTTCTGAACACTTCAGTACTGTGCATTGCTCTAAGTATGATTGCTATTTAAACTGGCATGCTATATCCGCTGGGGGAATTAGAGGGATATGTGGATTAGTGGCATACAAGAAAAACTGGTCTTTTCGGAACGAATCAAAACAACGGAAACATCACCTAAGTTTACTCAGCTGCGAAATAGGTAGAAAGTTGGATTCCATCACTTTTTTCCTACTCGGCTACTTAATTTGTTTATGCACCCAAAGGAAGGTGGGTGCGGGGCTGGGGGTGCTGTGTGTGGGCATGTGTACAAGACAGAAAGAGGACAAGAGCTTGGAGCATCGTCAGGAACAGAGTGCTCCCGCCCTGCGCCCTCTGTTTGCAGCGGTTCCCTTTGGCTCTCTTCACCCGTCACCTGCGAGGTGCGACTTGGCCCGGGTCCCCCAGCAGAAGAGAGGAACGAAGCCACGCGGCGGACGGAGGCTGCTGGAGACAGCTTCAGCCAGGATTATTCCGAATGGGCTTCGGCCGAGGTTAACCGACCCCTTCCCCCCGCGCCCGGCGCAGCCTCCCTCCTCGGAGAAGCCCAGAAACGGGACTCAGACCCGTCCCAGGCCATGCCATCGCTCGGGGCCCACCCACTCCGCGCCTCTAGCGCCGACCGCAGCTCTCTCCCTGGAGCGGTGCAGCGCCAGCGGGTGGGCTACTCACCATGGCAGCAGGCTGGACTCACCAGCTTCCAGAAACGGGACAGGCCGAACAGGGAATCGTGAAGGGTGGCCGGACCGCAAATAAAGGGGGGGAGGGAGGGAGGGCGGGTTGTTTAGAAGCCTCCCGTTGCTATTGGAAACGGAGGCACGTGGTCTTGAAGTTTTGCATTCTCATTGGCATTCAAGATCACGCGACAGGAAGTAGAGCGTGACGGGCACACTGTCGCATGCGCATTCTCTTCCAGACGAGAAAATCCCGCCTTTTCATGCCACGTTAGCTCTGGGAGCTGGCCGCGGTTGCCAAGGGTAACGGGAAGGGAGGCGTTGCCTCGGGCCCTGATGAATTTCGATACCCTTGATCCTTAAGGCCTGGGCTGCAGGTTTTGTGCCGCGCGCGTTTCCTGCAGCCTGGCGCCCCCCAGGGCGGTGACTTGGAGGGCCATTCCCGATCTTCCAACGGCTTCACGGATTGTGGGCCGCGCCCCAGATTTATTTCTCTCGTGGAGTTTCTACCAGAGCGTCAAGGTGGCAGACGTCCCCAGCGCTACCAGAGTCCTGGATAGAGGCCTGAGCTTTGAACAACCCTCCCCTATCCCTACCCAACATTTTTCTTTTCATAGTCCTGCTAAAAATCTCTAATTTTGCACGTTATCTTAGTTATCTAGTGCTGCTACAACAGAAATACCACAAGTGGGTGGCTTTAACGACAGAAATTTATTTTCTCACAGTTTAGGAGGCTAAAACCCACTGCCATCTAGCCGATTCTGACTCACAGAGACCCTACAGGACAGAGTAGAACTGCCCCATAGGGTCTCCAAGGCTGTACATCCTTACAGAAGCAGACTGCCACATCTTTCTCCTGAGAAGCGACTGGTGGGTCCCAAGAACCAACCTTACGTTTAGCCGAGCGCTTAACCACTGCACCACCAGGTCTCTGAATTCAGAGTGCTGGCTCTAGAAGGCTCTGTCTGCTCTGAGGGAAGGTCCTTGTCTCTTTTCAGTTTCTATTCCTAAATTCCTTGGCGATCAGGTGCCACGTATCTCCCCCTCCATTTGTGCTTGCTTAATCTGCTCTTTTTATATCACAAAAGAGATTGATTTAAAACACACCCGTCACTAATACTGCCACATTAACATAACAAAAAAAACCCCATTCCCAGATGGGATTATAACCACAGGTATAGTAAAACAAACAAAAAACCGTTGCCACTGAGTCGATAGGGGTTAGAATTTGCAACACATATTTTTGCAGGACACAATTCAATCCATAATACACCTCTTCCCTAAAAACAAGCAAAAAAAAAAAAGCAAATGGTATTAGTTTCCAAAAGAGCATGATTTTCAAATTATTATGCTCAGAATTGTCAGGGAAGTTAGTTGAATAAATATCTGCCCTAGCCTCATCCCAGAAATTGATTCCCCTCAAAGTCTAATTTGGGTCCTTGGGATCTGCAGTGTTTACTGACCTTCCAGGAGTGATCACAGTTCACTCTTTAAGAAATGCTCCACTGAAGAGGCAAAGATGTAGAACCTGACTGATTCTCGTAAATAGCAGAGGCTTGGGGCTGGGTGGGCAAAGTCCATGGAGTGGGCATTTCGGCAGCCTCAAAAGACAAAAACATGAGCCAGATCCGATCCCTGGGGAGGCAATGGATAAGCTAAAAAGTTGAGCTCAGTGCCATCTTGTTGTTGTGAGGTGCCGTCGGGTCAGTTCCGACTCATAGCCACTTGATGTACAGCAGAACGAAACACGGCCTGGTCCTGCACCATCTCACAATCGTTGTTATGCTTGAACCCATTGTTGCAGCCACTATGTCAGTCTGTCTCATTCAGGGTCTTCCTCTTTTTCGCTGACCCTCTACTTTACCAAGCATAATGTCGTTCTTCAGGTGCTAGTCTCTCCTGATAACATGTCCGAGGTATATGAGATGAAGTCTCGCCATTCTTGCTTCTAAGGAGCATTCTGGCTGTACTTCTTCCAAGGTGGATTTGTTCGTTCTTTTGGAGGTCCATAGTATATTGAGTATTCTTCACCAATAACATAATTCAAAGGCGTCAGTTCTTTTTCGGTCTTCCTTATTCATTGTCCAACTTTTGCATGCCTATGAGGCAATTGAAATACCTGGCTTGGATCAGGCGCACCTTAGTCCTTTAGGTGACAGCTTTGCTTTTTAACACTTTAAAGAAGTCTTTTGCAGCAGATTTGCCCAGTGCATCGTCTGATTTCTTGACTGCTGCTTCCATGGGTGTTGATTGTGGATCTGAGTAAAATGAAGTTCTTGACAACGTCACTCTTTTATCATGATGTTGCTTATTGGTCCAGTTGTGAGGATTTTTGTTTTCTTTTTCTTTGTTTATTGTTGTAGTTTAAGCAAAAGTTTACATTTCATGTTAGTCTCTTATACAAAAATTTATACATACGTTGTTATGTGACCCTAACTGCTCTGCCTGTACTGTGACAGCACACTCCTCCTTTCCACCCCTGATCTCCCGTGTCCATTGAACCAGCTCCTAACCCTCTCTGCCTTCTCATCTCACCACCAGACAGAAGCTGCCCGTTTAGTCTCATGTATCTGCTTGAGCTAAGAAGCACACTCTTCACGAGTATCATTTTATGGATTTTTGTTTTCTTGATGTTGAGGTATAATCCATATTGAAGGCTGTAGTCTTTGATCTTCATCAGTGAGTGCTTTAAGGCCTCTTCACTTTCAGCAAGCAAGCTTGTGTCATCTGCATGTTGCATGTTGTTAATAAGTCTTTCTCCAATCCTGATGCCCAGTTCTTCTTCATATAGTCCAGCTTCTCAGATTATTTCCTTAGCATACAGATTGGATAAGTATGGTGAAAGGATATAACCCTGACACCTACCTTTCCTGACTTTAAACCATGCACTATCCCCTTGTTCTGTTTGAACGACTGCCTCTTGGTTTATGTACAGGTTCCTCATGAGCACAATTAAGTGTTCTGGAATTCCCATTCTTCACAGTGTTATTTTTTAATTATCTTCAGCAAAATTTTACTTGTGTGTGATATTAATGATATTGTTCAATAATTTCTGCATTCTGTTGGATCACTTTTCTTTGGAATGGGCACAGATACGGATCTCTTCCGGTTGGTTGGCCAGGTAGCTGTCTTTCAAATTTCTTGACATAGACGAATGAGCACTTCCAGCG